TGCGAGCAGGCTGCCTCAGGTGCACGGCAGGGATCCTTACTTTCCTACGCTGGCTCCAACTTCGACATTTGTTAATCATAAAACTCACTGACAACGTGCAGCTGGGCTGCCATTTGTTAAAAAATTCTGAGCAAAATTTGGCTTCGGTGCAAAGACTGAAATCTTTATAATATTTCATTTTGGAAACTTTTCCTTTTGAGGAATGTGCTTATCTCCTGTTACTGCTTATTGGGTTCTCTGCTTCTTCAGTTTGGTTTCACTTAAGAGAACGTTTGGAAAAAAAAAAATCAAATAAAACCTGGATAAAAACCTACAACAATAGCTATCTGCGCTGAAACTCAGAGGAACAAATTGTCTTGAAGCACTTGCCTTTTTTCACTTCGCAAAATGTTTCGACTGGCTGTAATTCAGAGAATGAGTGGAATAATCATCCATCACCCCACAGCACGGGCACACCCCTGAATGAACCTTTGCACACAAAGTGCCTTTCCCAGCCAGCTGTTTCTCACGTGTGTTGGAGAAACGCTTCCAGGTAAGGTCTCAGTGCCCCCCAAGCAAAAGGACCAGCCAGCCCTTCCTCTGCCGCCGGCAAGCCTGGCTTCTCCGTCACGTCGGCAGGGAATGACGCGCCTCTGCGGCTTCCAGGGGCACTCGGAGGCCGTGCCACACGCAGCAGCACCTGCTGCAAAACACTCGCTCAGCACACCTTCCCAGGAGCCAAGGGAAACCCGAGCAGCGCTGCGACGCGCTGCGGTGGGGAGCCCAAACCGCCCGGCTGCGTTTGGCCTTTCCGCCGTAATTACAAAATGAGATGAAGCATCTTACAGCAAGGGTGGCATTTTACTGGGCAGTAGTTCTCAAAGAAAGGTTTCTTCAATCTGTTTAGGTTTGGACACCTATCACAGAGCCTGTGTTTACGTGGCAGAAAGTCAGATGCGCTTAAGGTCAGACTTTTAATGGGAACAAGGCACTGTAATTCATTTAAAATCTACCCTTAATCAACAGGTAGCAACAGCAGCAGGAAAAGAAATGACAGATGAGGAAAAGGAAGATTCTTGCTAAAATGAGAAAAAATAAATTGAGAATAGAATTCTGTCCAGAAAATTAACAGATGCTGTTTGCAACAAAAAGCTCCCAAAAGCTTAATAAATTGTGTAAATTGACACTAATTAAGGATGGTTCCCAAGCAGCAGCCTATCTGCAAGCACCCAGAGTCACGTCACCAAGCACCAGGCACGTTTCCTGGCACTGAAGGGGACCCATCCCCTCCTCTGCGGCTGTGCCCTCTGGGGCTCCCTGCTCTGCCTGCTGCAAGCCCTCGGGGAAGGCAGGTGGCACGAGCACTGCAAGTCAGGCTAAAAATCCCTGTCCAGGGCACGGAACTGTGCAGAAACAGCTTCCTCTGTTTGCTGTGTTACAGGTGTGCTGTGCTGTTTTACACATCCAAAAAGGCAACAGTGAATTTCCTTAAGCTACTACATAAAACAACAGTTCTTGACAAATCAGAGCACATTCTTCTCCTCCTGGAACACGCTCACCCCTGCATCATTCCCCTCTAGATATCACCTGTCTTTCTGGACATCACTAAATCTCCAGCAGTTATACACATTAACATTACAAGGGGGTGAAGGTGCTGGGAGCAGCGAAAGCCAAACAAAGGACTTCAGCACATCTTCACCAGTCAGTGTCCCTGAAGCCACCCCCGTACCGAGACACTCAAAGCCCCAAACAACCCCAACGCTGCTCCGGTAAAATAAAGTCGTCCTGTAGCCAGAGCGTGCGACACGCTCCTCCATCATCCCTGAAACAGCAATTTCACTCTGCCTTCTTCCCTTCCCCCAGGGGAGTAATCTCCACGACTTGTCAATAAATAAACGTCATCACTGCAATGTATTGGGAGAAATAAACCCCAGCTGGGATATCTGTTTCTCCAGTTGCAGAAGAACAAGCAGAGCTGGGAGGAGAACTCAGGACAGAACAAGAAGCAACCAAACTCTCCGTGACATCAATCCCAGATCTTCATGATTAAAACCCTTCAGCTTCTACCTCTGCTCACACCCCAAAGCACTTTCTGGTTTTCTTTGGGACGGGAAATGCACATAGCAAACACGTGGAGAACAGCTGATCCAGGGAGGCTGAAACCAAGCACGCAGCCTCAAGGGTCAGAGCAGCTTTGGGAGCGGCCAAGAGTTACTGGCCTTTGCTATGTTTAGCAGAAGACATGGAGCTAAAGCAGCAAAACCCCTTTGGGCCCCAGGAGCCACAGCTGCACGACACACGACGGGCAGGCACGGGCCCTGCCGCTACCCGCAGAGATCCGTGCAGGCAGGGCAGCAGCCGGCCCTGTTCGAGCAATTAATGACCCCTCATGCAACCCACAAATGCACGTGCAGCCCACTGGCCTCGGCCGGGAGATGACCCTCTGGTGATCCTCATGGTACTAGGAGAATTTGAAAGAGCCATGGCAAGATGTTTTACCTCTCTCTCGCCTCCAGCGCTGCCAAGGCACACTCTTAATGTCTTTTCCCAACAATTTCCGTTGCAGATCTACAGCCCATCTCACAGCATAAGCTGCTATTTGCAACACTCAGGTGTACTTGCCCCCCGTTTATTGCTTCTCTTGTCCCACCCTATTTCGAAAAAGAGCTGTCACGTGTACTTACTTATAGTAGATATCAGATCTTGAAACCTTTCCTTAGGAAAGAGGGGGTTTTCCAGTCCTCGGAAATACAGCTTCAAGACTCCAGCCACCGAATTAATGTCACGTTCGTTTTGGTCATCAGCAAGGGGATCTTCACCTGCCCAGAGAAGAGCTTTTACTTCCAGCATTACTATCAAGCTGGACTAATACAAAAAGTGTTCCTAACTCAGTGGAAACTCAAAATTTCCCACAGTTCAGAAACCCCTCCTCTGTATGGAAAGGTAGTGCTACGCATGTTCCCAGGGAGCGGAGAGTTTAATAAGGTACCCTGCTGCACAGCATCACGCTGAGACATGTGGTAGCCCTACCTACTAAAAACCAGTTTATTGTGGAGATTTTAAGCCTTTCCTGAAGATGAGGACGTTATTAATTGGTTCTCCTTCACAGTTTCCAGCCCAGTGCGTTTTTCCATTAAAGGCAACAGCTCAGAGAGCTGAGCAGACCTAAACGATGAACGCCTGAGAAGACAGGCTTGGCTGGAGGATGCAATTATGCCTCCGGAATGAACTGAATGGTTTTGGATAGCATTGTACCAACTTAAAACTATAAAAGGCTTTCAATTCCTAAGGGATTTGGATAGCGATTCCTCTTAAATTGGATGTGCAAATCCTCCAGCCTTTGACAATCCCACCACTGCTTTCTTCGTTGTCCTGGCCACCTTCGCTCTGATCCTTCTGATGTTGCTCAAAGATGAATGCCACGGGTGCCATGGCCCCCTCTAGACCGTCCCTTTCACGGCTTCACCTTCACTCGGTGGCAGCCCAATTGTTCTGCCCTGTCTTGGCAGCCTTCCACCTTCCATGTGATTTTCTCAGCAGAATCACCAGCAACTCCACAACCACCACTGCCACCAGGTACACGCGGCAGTGCTGCTGCTCCTCCCTTGGCAAACTGCTGCAGGAAGGAGAAAAATGGATCCCCAACAAACTCTTTTATGGCTCTCATCTGAGGCTTTCATGCTCTTAATTAATGAGTGCGGAAAAGATGTCTGCACCTACTTCTCATACTCCTTCCCTAAGTGAGTCTTTGCTACTGGCTGGAGATACTACTCAGATACCTGGAAGGGGAGAAAAACTCCTCGTGTCTCATAGCAGAAACACCTTTAGTGTGGGATTTACACACTAAGGCACCCAGCACACACGGAAAGTCCCACCAACACCCTCTGCTCAGACACGGCATCCCAGCTGCAGCTGCACACCCCGGCAACGCACCTCTCTCAAAGGAATTCTTGATGTCGTTGACTTCCACCTGGGAGCCAGGGACCCTGAAAATGCCCTGCTGCTGAAGGCCTGGAAAAGAACGTTACAGAAAAGATTAACTCTTACACGGTACTTTCTGGTAAAGAACAGCAGAAATCAGGAGCTGATGCACCCGGAAAGGCTCAGAGCAAGACGGGGATAGCCTGCCGCAATTCATTTCTGCTCATTTTCTCCAACCAAGGCCCCTCAGATCAAAGCGTTGAAAGGGCTCCCGTTGGCCTGGGGGGGCAATTTAACTGGAATAAGTGCTACCAAGACCTAAATATTTGTCAGTCATCCAATGCTACAAGTACATTACAGTGCCACTGCAATTATAACCTGAGCCCACGTAGCGAGGGCTACGGGCATCTCTGCTGTATCTCCCTGCTCACTACAAGCACTGATTTCCTTTGCAGAAAGTTTCTGTTGGTATCACTGCATCGACTTACCGTACAAATTGATGTAACGAATGCAGCTTTCTACTACGAGCGGAATAGCCTGTCCTGAATCCTTCATGAAAGGAAAGGAAAAAGTAAAAATTACTGGCTTATTGATAACAAAGGACGGGAAATGCATTAAAGATTGCAAAACCAGATTTGAAGATCAGCGCTACTGAGTTTAGTAAGTGGACAGTTAAGAAAAGGAGGCACTACACACACCCAGCCATTGAAAAGTGCTGAATACACTATGTGCAGTCAATTATGCACAAGAAAAGCTCTCACTAAAGCGTGTGAAAAACTGCTGCTCACTGTCTGCTTGAGACAGGCGACTGATGCAACTGGATCACAGCCATTCCATTTCAAAGGTGTGATGCTGAGCTGAAATAAAACTTGTGCTATACCTGTCTGATGAAATAGAAAGCTTCCAGAAACAGAGCTTACAACAATATTTCCACCTAAAGAAAGAGCCATTGTCAGCAGATGCTAAAAAAAACAATCACCAAAACACCATAGTGTGTGACATGAACTGCCTGTATCTGAACCTGCAATGAGTTCTGGATTTTGTTTCAAATCTGCTTCTTGCCAGGCCCCCATAGAAGCAGCTCAAGGGGGAACGTGAGCCGTGTCTGACTGTCTTAAATGGACATTTATTTCCCGTAGGGGCTTTGCCTGGCTGTTTTTTCCAGTAGAGTACAGTTGCATCTCTCTGCTTAATTCACTCCGTCTCACAGACTGGCCTCCAGTAAATACCTGATTTCTCGTTCGCGCATTCCTCCTTCCTCTGAGAACACAAAAAAGCAGCAGAGCGGGGAAAAAGAGAAAAGATTAAGCAAGGATAAGTTCAGTTAGAGGTAAGCATCTCTTGCGGAGGCCATGAACGCTGAAATGCAATGGCAGCTTAGCAAGGTCCAACCCTCGGGCTGTCCCCCCTCCCACAGCCCGTCCGGCGCGCTGCCCCGAGCCTCGGCGGCCGCCAGAAACGGCCTCTCGGATTTCTTCTCTCTCTGAACCTGCAGCACTCGTGGGAGCCGGAGGAGCTGCCAGCCCCAGGCCAGGCACAGGTGGGGCTCTGGGGAGAGCTGCCCCGGGGGTGGACCCAGCACCCGCAGCCCTGCGCCCCGTGGTGCCCACGCTTCCCGCGGCAGCACCTGGCCTCGGGGACTGCTCCGGCAGCACGGCACCGTCCCCCGAGGGCTCTCCGCGGGCGCGGGACACCCGCTCGCTCAGATGGATTTCCGCTGCACATCATTCCTCCTCCGCAGCGCTGAACGGGCTGGACTTTAATGAGCACTCCTTTTTTAGCAATCAGTTTAAGTAAGGAATAATTACAAGTATTGAAGAGATCACCGGCTCTGTCGGCCGGCCGTGTGCCACTGGTGGCAGTGCTGTTTGCAAACACCGCTCTCGGCTTACGGCTGCACTAGGAGAGCCTACGGCAATAAATCGGAGCCGGACAATGCCTATTAGTTTACCTAATCCAACAGTTTGTCGTTACTGCTTCCTACAGTATTTTCACTAAAGCTTTCTTCAGCGCAGGATTAAACACTCTGAGCAACTGGAACGGCATCGCTTCCTTTGGAAATCCTTCCAGCAGCCAGGCGAGAGCAAAGTGCTGGGTTTCAGAGGATCAGTACCTAGATAGCTGGAGACACTCTTTGAGACAAATCCCACATCTCTTCGGTTTTTCCCCTCAAACCTCTCATTCTGGGTAATTTCCTGGGATGAGCAGGGCCAAACAGCCCCTTCCATTGGGACCGCGCTGGTATTCACTGAGTTCATCGGAGTTCACCCCGGCTTAAATGAAGAAAATACCTCAGCCCACGATTATCAAGGCCACACGCTGCGTGTTACCAGCGACAGTTTGGAGACCACTCAGCAGCCGTTTAGGAATCGCTTTGCTCCAACGCTGGAAGCCGAGCCCGTGGTCCCGGCCAGGCACTGGCGTGGGTCACAGACAGCGTACGAGCCGTAGGGTCTCCTCTCCTGGCGTGCGTCGAGGTAACGGGCTCCCACGGGAGAGACTGGCAGCTCTGTGCCCATCTCGCCCACCCTCCTGCAGGTCAGCCCTCCTCCCGGGGCCGTGGGACGGGGCCTTCAGACGCGCGGTCAGTGCCGAGCGGTACGACAGGGCTGCAGCCGCCGGCACGGAGAGCAGTCAGCTGGGTGGTTATTACGGATAGGTTTTGTTTAAGGATGAGGCTAGCACATCTACACTGCCACGTAGCCACCCGTACACACGGCACTTCGATTCCAGGCTGCCAGTCCTTACTACTGGGAGATGCCTTCTGGGAGCTCGTGAGTCATTTTATCTTCCTCCTCAGCCACAGGGGAAGGCGACCACCAAAAACGCGTGGAAAAAGGGAAGGTGGGGGATCTGTTGATGCTTTGAGGGTGCTGGGTTGTCATTGCTGTCTGATCTCCCTTCCCAGGATGGGTGGAAGCAGTGCTGGATGACGGTGATGCTCAGCCACGAGCACCTTGTGCCACAGAGTCCCCGGCACGTGCCGCCCTCGCCCCGGGCACGCTGCGGGGGACGGTAATGCAAGGAATGCTCGAAGGGCAAGGACAGCTGCGGAGAGAAATCGTCACCGAGGCAAAGCGCGCGCCGGCCACGTCGGCTGGGTGCAGGGCGGACCAGAGAGAGCCCCCCGAGAAGGAAAGCGGCCAGCAGTCAGGACAGGAAAGCCACCATTACATTCACAGCGTTCACAAACTCCTACTGTCAGCCAGCGAGTACCTTAATGAACGTTTCCATATTGCCGTTAAAGAGTTTATGATTATAGACTGAGAGAGGCCTAGGTCTCCTCATTTTCTGTGGCTTAGGGGGAAGACATGGGGGCCTGGGAGAAAATGGAACAAAAGAAATCAACAAAACACCAACATAAATGCAATGACAGGGTGAGATCTCAAAGGTTATGACCGAGATAAAAAATAAACCAAACAGAAAAATCGCCCTGTGAGGACTCGCCACGCAGCTCCCCACACTCTGCCGTCCCCGCCGCAGACCCCAGGAGCCGGCGGACCTGCAAAGAGCTCGGCTCCGCACCGCGCACAGCACCCCGGCTCCTGCGGACGTGCCCTCTGCTTGCTCCAAAGCCCTTTCCAGCAGCCTGGCACGGGCTACCCTGGCACTAACTCCTTCTGGGGGCAGTGCCACGACGGGCAGGCTGAGCCCGGTTGCCACCGGCAGCATCCGAGCGGGCAGCAGAGCTGACCTGGAGGCAGCCCAGAGCAAACCAGAGCTGTACACTGCACTTAACTTCAAGTCAAGGTCAAGACTGCAGCCTCTACTTCAGTAATAAATTCCAATTAATCTTGATAATAGAAACATTTAACAACAACCTACCCATTACTTTCCCTCCCCATAATCTTCCAGTATTTCCCTATCAGACAGACTCTGGGCTCAGCTGCAGCCACAGACAGCAATCTAATGAGCTGCTGCTACGGGCTTCCCGAGGGGTCCTGGTTCCTACTGGAAACCATCCTTCTCCAGAGCCAGGACCACACCAACAACGACAGCCAGTCAGCAGGATGGCTCTTCATGCAGAACTCGCTTCATTCGAGCCAGAGAGTAACAAAGCTGCTAAACACAGCTGGTCACAACTGTCTTCAGCACCCACCATCTGCAGATACTGTTCTCCCTCTCTGAGATGCCAAATATCAAAACTGCTGCTCAGTGTTTGTGCTAGTACCAGCGGTTTTAGAAGTAAGACAAAGGCGTTGGTGCTCAGCAGGATTTTTAACACCTGCCTCCTACCTCCACCAGTTCAGCACTCTGTTGGCCTGAAAAAGCACCAAGAGCAGCTGATATTTCCAAAATAAGCCACAGCTACCCCTGGAAAACACTGCAGTGTTCCTTTTTATCTCTAAATGGATCTCATTCTGCTCATAGATGGCCAGAAAGAGGAAGGTAGGAACACCTCCACCTCTCTGGAGCTAACTTTTGTATGGGAGACGTTCACAGGGATGTGAACAGTCTTCCGTCTTTCTGGCAGGTGCTCCCCAGATTCAAACCACCAAACAAAAAGGTGAGCCCAGTCAACACACACTAGCAAACCCACCAGCAACTCCAAGAACAGAAGAGGAGTGGTGTGACTCTGCCCCACTAGCTTGTGACCGAGGGTCCTCATCAGTCATGGGCACAGACCTTGGAAACCGTGCTGACTTCAGCGAGGGTAACAGACACCTACTGCTGCTGGAGATAAGGCCATGGAAACGTGGGACTTATTTTAGTGCAGGGATCAGGACTTGGGAGGGCTGCTTTCATTAATGCTATTCACATTTTGGTTTCTTCGTCTGATAATGAAGGACATGAAGACCCAAGCACCTAGATCTAGAAAAGACCAGCATAAAATCTCTCACCGATCTCTGATCTCTCCTCTACCCCCAGGCTACACGTCCGTAGAGGAGAGATCATGACTGCAAACAAAAACGAGCGCTGGGAGCCTCGTGCGAAAGTTCTCACAGAGCGCAGTCGACTGGACACGTACAACTTACACAGAGCCGTGATGCGAAGGTGACAGTTGCCATCCGCTGGTTCCTTTATCAGATGCCTTTAATTAAGCAATTTGCCTCTACACTCCTATAGCTCCTCACCACTGCTCCAACTGGTACCGGTGGAGCAGCCGCGACTGCTGCCCAGCCAAGCACCCACCCGGCCCTCAGCTGAGCAGCCCTGCATGGGCACTCGGGACCCTGCGTGGGCACTCGGGACCCTGTGCCACGGCTGCCCCGTCCCCCCCCTCCCCGGGCGCTGTCTGGTGCGAGGCGGCCAGGCCGGCCAGTCTCCGGCTCCGTCTGCTGGGAAGGGGGTTCTGCCTGCGCTTACGGCGCTGCCCCTCACAAGGACACTGTCTCCTGTTTGCTTTCCTTCGTGGAGCAAGAGCAACTGCTGAAAAAAGAGCAAAGAGAAGCAGCAGGAGCTGTGCCACCACCCCTCCCGCGGGAGGCTGTTTATCCCTTGGACTGTTTTGGCCTGTGGCACCCATGGCTTGCCTCCCAGGCCATGTTCCACGCACGGCGGGGCACCACGGGTGTCGGGGCACCACGGGTGTCGGGGTGCCGTAGGGCAGCTCTCCGGGGACCTGCGGGGAGAGGCAGGAACCGCAGCGGGGGGCGGCTGGGGGCGGG